TTGGCTTCTACTCCTGCTATCAACTGCTCAGCCCTCTGGTGATCTCACATCTTTAGTGAGAGCAGCTGCTGCTAGACACTCAGAAAGCAAGTGAGCTGGACTGAATGTTTTAGCCAGGCCTTCCTCATAGATGGCGGGTCACCCTGGAGATGGGCAGATCCCAGATCAGGTACCAATTGTTTGAGTCCAAGGTGTTCACATCTCAAAGTGTACATACAACCTTGGCCCTTTTGCTTAGGATCCCTTCTGGGGTCCCTTTCCACCTTCTCTTCACTGTAGCTGGTCACACAGCAAGAGTTGTGCTAATGGTAGGCACTTGGAGTTTTTTTTAACTGCCCTGTGCCTGTTGTAGGAGTCTGTTAAATGAGGTACAACTTCATTCCTTTATAAGTGTACCCATCCATATTAGTTATTTTCTTCTCACTGTGGCCAATGCCTGACAAGAAGTCCCTTAAGGAACTAAGGATTTATTTTGGTTTCATGGTGCGGAAGGCATGATGGCCAGGGTTCCAGCTATGGTGATGGGAGCTTCAGGCATAACATATCAGTGGGTCAGGAAGCAGATATAGCCCATAAGCCCACCTCCTGTGACACTAGGGCAGTATTTCTGCCAGGTAGGCATTAATGCCCAATTGGTTCTATAGCCTCTCAAAATAGAGCAACAGGGCTTGGGTGGGACTTTTACACTTGTACCATAGCATCATTTATAGAAAAAGTCATATGAAATCATGGTGTAAAATAAAATGAGAACTAGTTTGATGGATATGTACATGATGAGCTCATGAGTCTGCTCTGCATGCCCCTGGTGAAACCCTGGAGAAAGTACAAAACATACCCAGACCACCCTAGGCTTTGTAGGGGACAATTGACATCTCCCTTGTCCCTGCTTAAAGATTGGTTTTATTTATGTGTGTGCAGACACCCATGGAGGCCAGAAGAGAGTCCCATGCTCTGGAGCTGGAGTTACAGGTGCTGGGAAGGAGGAAGCAAGAAGAGCCTCCTACCCATCCCCCAAGCCAGCATCTCTTGAGGAGTAGATCCCCCAGGCTTTAAAACCTTGTCCATGTTTATTGTGGCAATCATTTTACAATTCCCCCCTTTTTTTGTTAAAAGCAAATTCAGGAAATGTATTTTGGGGTCTTCTAGGACAAGACATTACTTGATATGAAAGTTATCTTCAGTTGTGATATAAAGGAAACTGAAAACATTTTTTAACAAAGATTCATTTACGTTTTTGTATGGTGTCTTGTCTGCATGTACATCTACACACCAGAAGAGGGCATCAGATTCCACGGGACTATATTGTGAGCTGTGATGTGGGTGCTGGGACTTGAACTCAGGTCCTTTGGAAGAGCAGCCGGTACACTCAATCACTGAGCCATCTCTCAAGCTCCAAATTAAAGACTTTTTTTTTTTTTGGGGTAGTGTTTCTTTATGTAGCCCTGGCTCTTCTAGAACTTACTATGAGATCAGACCAGGCTTGTCTTGAACTCACAGAGCTCCACAGGCTTCTGTCTCACAAGCATTGGGATTAAAAGCATATGCCACAATGCCTGACCAAACTGAAAATATTTAACTGAGAATTGAAATAAATATTTCTAGTTTTGGAATGATGTTTATGCCCAGGATTACCCCAATGCATCCAGAAACAGAACAGTTTCTTTTGAAATGAACACTGCAGACACAGATAAGCAAGAAGCAGGCATTTGGCATGTTGAGAATAAATATATAGCTTGATGTTATAACTTCTATACCACAACAAACCAAGGGGGGAGACCCCATAGCTCTGAGGTTCCATCATCTTGAGGATACAAGGGTATGCTGGACTTGAACCTGTTCTTGTGCAGTGTCTGGAAGCCAAAGATTTGCAGGACTGCTCTGGCTCCCATAGCAGTGTTCTCTGATAATGACAGCAGCCGTGAATTCTTACCTTGTCCCCAGACCTCTGCTTTTCATCTAGAAAACCCTGCCTGAGGATCACAGGGAACAAACGTTCACATCTCTTCTTCTAGAGCAAATATTCGAATCCCTGACTAACTTACCATTTCACTCACATCTTCATGGGAATTTCTTGGATCTCTGAGCTAAAGATGTCTAGACAGATGGTACCATGTGTGTTCCAGGGTCTGAGGTCGCTGGGAAGAGAAACTAAAAGGTGAAATGTTGACTAATAATTCAGGGCAGCAAGAGCTATGGAAAGTCTATGGCAAAGTAAACCCTCGTGGAGTAGGTACACAGAGGAAGGTGGGGAGACTCATGCAGAGTGTGCCTACATTCTTGCTCAAGGCTTTAGGAGTACAGGGGTGGGTGAGCCTGTGGTCATGCACAGGGAGTTCCAGGAGACTTCTCAATGGGGCTTTTCATCTGCTGTGCCTGTGAATATGGGAGCTAAGTACCTGATGCCCTTGTAACTTGGGTCAGGATGGATGATATAGAACCCATCCTTTTCAAAGTCACTACTTCATGGGACAGGGATTTGTTCCATGTTGTTTACTCCTTGTCAGGCATTTTCACTGAAGATACTATTACTCATGAAGAAAACACAAATTTATTTTAGACCAGTTAAAAAAGAGAAATAAAGAAAAGGGGAAAAGACACTTATTTTTTTTCTGAAACACTGAAAGGCTACATTCTCTTAGGAGCAAATTGATTTTCATAATTAATCAGTCCTAACATTGGGAAGGAGTACCAGTAGTTTCTCTGACAAGGATCAGCACTTGTTCTGGGTTCCTGGGTTTATGTTATGAGATTCCCATTTTCCAGAAAGAAGACTCTGCTCAGGAAGTGTGATGATTCACACTGTTCCTGTGATGATGGACAATGTAGCCATGAGGTGCAGATGTTGAAGGGGCTGAGTCCTCTGGTCCAGTCACCATATTTCACCAGGAGAGAAAAGGCAGATAGATAGAAAAGTGACTGATTCACTGCACTTAGTATATGACCCATGTCTCCCGTCTGAGTAAGCAAGGGATGGATTGCTTCAGTGGTGTATGTATATGGTAGGGGCATTCAGAGGCATGCTGTGTCTTTCTTTGAATTTTTGACTTAGTATGATTTGTTGAAGCAAGAAATGAGTCAAAATTCAGAGGACTCACTGGCATTTTACTTGTAGAGGCACTTGATGACAAGCGAACGGGGGGGGGGCAAACTTTTGACAAGAGATAGATTGCTTTGTTTAAAAAAAAATTGAATTGAGGTTGTGGTGATGTTTTGTTTGTGCTCTAACAAATAATGTTTGCCTGAAGATCAGAGGGTAGAGCTAGCCACTAGTTAACCACAGAGGCTAGGCAATGGTGGCACATGCCTTTGATCCCAGCACTTGGGAGTTGGAAGCACGAAGATCCAGAGTTCAAGTCCACACTAGGCTTTATATGAGATTTAACGAGTCTAAAAGAGAAACAGAGCTCATACCTTTGGTCCCAGCATTAGAGATCTCACACCTTTGATCCCAGCACTAGGGAAGTGGAGAAAGGAAGTGATATGGCTGGGTGTAGAGAGGAATATAAGGTGGGAGGAAACAGGAGCTCAGCCATTTTCTGTCTGAGGATTTCGTGGAGGTAAGAACTCTAGTGGCCGCCTCCTTTAATTCTCTGATATTTCAGCAGTTACTCCTGATATCTGACGCTGGGTTTTTATTATTAGAACCAATTAGAATTTGCACTACAGAGTTTTTCTCTCTCTTTTGTATATAAGTATTGTACTTATATACTTTCCACCTCTCTTTCTCCCCACTCCACCTCTTCCTATGCCTTCCTGACTTCTTTAATTATTCTTTTACACACACACACACACACACACACACACACACACACGATGGAGAAAGTGCTTCTGTGTATGTGTTTGTCTTACTGGATGATAAATAAAATGCTGTTTGGCCAATGAGGCAGCAAATTAGGCAGAACTAGGAGTCAAATAGGATTCTGGGAAATGTAGTAGAGAAGTGGTGATCCAGGCAGGAAGTGACATAGGAAGGAGACTCATATTTAAGCAAGGAGAAACAGGAAGTATCCCCTTTTCCCCTCTGCTCTTCCTCCAGTGGCGTGATGTGATCCACTGGCAAGGGGCAACGTCAATGGAAGGCATTTGATAAGATAAGTCTCATAAGATATATAGATTTATGTTAATTAAGACTGAGCTAGCAGATGAGAGATCCTAGTCATTGGCCAAGCAGCATTTGTACCTAATATAAGTCTGTGTATTATTTTGTTCATCCACGTGGTGGGCAGAACTTGGGCGGCTGGCAGAGACCATCCACGTGGTGGTAGAACTCGGGTGGCTTTTGGCAGAAATATTTACTGTAACACACACGTATACCTGAATATAATATGCTGAACACATTTAGTGATGCTTCTATATATGTGTGTGTCTAGAGCTGACTGCTAAGAAATGGATAACCTAACAGGGGTCATCCCTAGAGAAAACTGAATTCTCTCTCTCTCTCTTAGCAGCCATTAGTTCCCTGTAGCTCTTCATCTAGGAGAGGGGCTTTGTGAAATTTTCCCCATTCACATTGTCATGTCAACTGGTGCCATTGGGCAGATCTTGTTTAGGTGACTATAATTTTGAAATTTCATTGGGTGCAACTTTCCTGCCACTTATAGAAGACACCACCTCAAAGCAGGTATCCTACCCCCTGAGTCTTACAAAGTATCAATTAGGGTAGGTACCTCAGGGCCAATTATTTGACTGCTGCCTTTTGGAGAGTAGCAGAGCTTCCAAATAGAATACAGAGAGTGTTGAATCTCTGTCCCCCTGATCCCCCCCCTCCGTGTGTGTGTGTGTGTGTGTGTGTGTGTGTGTGTGTGTGTGTTGGGGGCAGGGGAGATTGAATAGAGTAAGTAGAGGTTGGCAGTAGAGAACCAAGGTGCCTGTGTACTTGTTCCTTTTTTTTTGTTTGATTTTGAGACAGAGGCTCACTATGTAGCTCGGGCTAGTCTCAAACTTGTGACAGGCTTCCTGATGCAGCCTCTGGACTGTTTCTTTATTCTTTTGCAGAGCATCAAATTTGTGCCTAATTCATGTTGCAAAGCTGTTGAGACCTCCCTTAGAAGCTTGAATTTACAAGGTAGATAGAGAAATGCTGCCACTGTGGAAAACTGACTGTGAGCTAAGGAGTCAGTACATGGATCTTCAAGCTACAACTAATTGCATAGTGAGTAGACTTCAATCTAGACTGTTTTCTCCCTCTGTAAAATGGATGACTTATGGCCATTTCCAACTTAGGCAAGGAACACTAGGGCAGTCTATCTATATACTTACACTCCTTCCCCCAAGACCTTCTCTGCTTTTCTTCAATGTGGAAAAACTGAATTAATCAACTAATGAGTCCTTGTAAACATTGATGGGTTTAACAGAAACAAATGGAAGTGTGGAATTTTGGGCTCCTATGAGCAGCAAGGTTGGGAGTGGGGCTCCTCATTTTACATCTTAGGAGTTCACTCACTTCACTCAATCCCTGCTGAAACTTCAATTCAATGAGCAGCAGGGTTGGGGGTCCTTATTTTACATTTTAGGGTGCCACCCACTTTACTCAATCCCAGCCGTATCTAGCTGTAACTTCAATTCAAAGGTCTCAAACCTAAATTGGGAAGAAGTCTTGCGGGTGTTCAGCTCATCCCAGTGGCTGCCCTGCCCCTAGCAAGTTGTGAGGACTTAGGTAACTGCTGGCCTCCCAGCCTCTATCTACTTCTCTGCTCATTTCCAACTTTATCTACTTGTCTCACTCTGTTTGAGATACAGTGTGAATAGATAAGGTAATAAACCAGATTTTCAGAGTTTGTAAATTTCTCTCTGGGAATAATTTGTATCATTCTTGTTCTTCTCAGCCAGAGGGGTAAGATTGAGTAAATTACTGCCCCTGCCAGCACTGCACTGTGTGGAAGCATACTGATCTGAAAGCGTTCATGCCTCTCTGTAGGCCACGAGCCCACTGGTGGGGCATCATTTGCACTGACATGCCATATGCGCAGTGCTGGGAGCTTCTTGAGAGTCTGCTCCAGAAGCATAAAGAATTAATAGTACACAAAGCACCTTAGCAGGCTGATGTTCAAAGAGCCCACCATGTAAAGAGGTCTCTGAGTGATTCTGTGAGGTACAGCACCAATCCTGGCATTGAGAAGGTTATCTATGACTTCTTTGACAAGGATCAATCAGATCACCTAACCATCTACTAATTTTCATGAGGTTCCTGGGATCACTTTATGAGACTCATTTTCCCCAGGAGTGAAACTTCAATTCAATTATTTCATCCCTTCCAGTCATCCTCTCTTCACTGAAGTGATGTGGCTTACTTCGACCCTCTTTTTGTTTTGTTTTGTTCTTTTTTTTTTTTTTTTTTTTTTTTTTTTTTTTTTTTTTTTGCGCGGCCGTGCTTTTTCTCCCATGGCTACATTTCGTCTTCCTAAAAGTGGTGGTTTTTGTTTCTCCATCCCCAGTGAAATTTAGACCATCATTTCTCCAGTATGAGCTTAGCACTTAGTGTGTTGGCAGAATGACTTTGCTATGTGAAAATTAATGGCAGAATAATGGGAAGGGGATTTCAGAAATTGGGAAGGGAAAGCTTAAGAAGTAGGGTGAATATGAGTCTCTGTTCTGCAATGTTGGGTAGGGAGAGTAGCAGTTAAATATGAATATTTAATTTAATTGGAATAATTAATAAAGTGCAACTAATTTAAATAACAATCAATCAATAAATTAATTTAATCTGACTAAATAATGTGATATTGTTTATTTAAAAATATAGACTCAGGAGTGGGCTGGAGACATGGTTCAGTTATTTAAAAGCTGGATGGAGAAACTATTAAAGAAGACATCCAAAACTGACCTTTGGTGTACACACACACACACACACACACACACACACACCCACACACACACACACTCAGGAACACTGTATATTGAAGTTATCCATGTCAAAGTGGTCACCTAAGAGATCAATTCCATCTAACTATGCAGCTGTCACTCAAAACACTTTTCTGATATGTATCTGATATGTATACATAGCAGTTTAGTCATCCAACAAATGCCCCCAGGCATACTTCTTTTTATAAGATTCTGAGTTGGCAGTTTACAGGACTCATAAAAGTATGAGCCAGTATCTACATATCAATTGGGAATGCTACCTTGCTGTTGAGGATGGGTTTAATTTCTGACTTGAACCAAATCCTCTGAAATCAACTCTAGAGGAAGAGGATTTTACAGACTGCTCTTGTGGCATGGTTTGGTGGTAAATTGCAGTAATGCAGCTTTATGTTTCTTCTTTTTTCTTTTCTTTAAAAAATTTGTTTTTTGCAACTATGTTCTTTGTCCTGTGACTACAGTTCCTTGCACTAAAACTGGTGGTATTTGCTTCTCCATACCATAATTTGAACTGGAATGAGGACTTACTGTGGACAGTAGAATGCAAAAGTATCGAGGGTGTACCCATTTGAGTCAAGCACCATGAGGTTGACATGTCTCTGCTTGTCTTTTAAAACTTCTGTTGTTGCCTTGAGAGCACTCCTGGGCTAGCCTGCTGGAAGCTGTGAGATATGTGAAGCAGAATGGTGGTCTGTTACGATAAATCTCTCCGCCAAAAACCGCCTGAGCCCTACCGCCACATGGGTGGTCTCCGCCAGCCGCCTGAGTTCTGCCTGCCACGTGGATGGACAAAATAATACAGAGACTTATATTAGGTACAAATGCTGCTTGGCCAATGACTAGGATTCTCATCTGCTAGCTCAGTCTTAATTATCATAAATCTATATATTTTATAAGACTTATCTTATTGGACACCTTTTATTGGCATCCTCCCTTGCCAGTGGATCACATCACAAATCTGGAGGAAGAGAGTAGGGGAAAAAGGGACCACTTCTTGCTTGTCCTTCCTTAAATATCTCCCTGCTATGTCACTTCCTGCCTGCATCACCACTTCTTTACTACATTTCCCAGAATCCTATTTGACTCCTAGTCCCACCTAACATGCTACCTCATTGGCCAAACAGTACTTTATTCAACAATCAATAAGATGAACATACACACAAGTACATTCCCATCAGTGGTCCATGTTTTTTTAGCCAAGGTCAGTTTAAGGTAAGCTGAGAGTCATTTGACCTTTCTCCTTTACCCCAATATATGTGTGGTGAAGATCAGCAGGGACCAATCAGTCCCTGGCCTCTCTGGGTAGATGAATAGTAAACACTTGTATGCCACTAGGGTTTTGTGGTTGCTACACAGCATTGCCATGAGAGTAGCTAACTGATACAGCTTATATGCTGATTACAGAACTAGAACTCTCAGTGTTGAACTACCATACTATTCCTGTAACAAGTGAATGATGCCTCCAGGTGACTATTTTCTAGAAACACATTTGGGTGTTTTTGGGCATCCTTCCTGTGTCCTGTGTCCTGTACTTTCATGTTCACTCAACTGAACTATGGCTCTGTTAGACAAAATGTTTTGTGAGGGCAGGGACCACATCTTGCTCTTTTGCCTCCTTGATGTCTTATCACATAGACAGCAACTCCTAGCACGTAAAAGAATGAAGGAGCAGCTTAGAAGGCAGATCTTGAATCAGGTGTTTTATTAATTCTAGTTTAAGATCATATCTAATGTGTAACATGCAATCTTAAAACATAATTAGCAGTTAATTAGTGCAATCACTGGATGAGGGTACACACAAACACAGGTCACCTTTCATTTTCAGTTAAAAAAGAGTCCATCCCTCACGTCATCATCAAACCTTTGTCCCCCAGGTAACACAGTGCCTGGCTTCCTATTTTTTTTCCCAGAGAATATACTATCGTTAAAATGAGGTGTTTATGTAGGAGAGAAAATAACATTTTCAGACATTACTTAAAAGAAATGTCTGCACATTTTACAGTTCCTTTTCTGTTGGGCAGTAGGGGCCGGTTGGATGCAGCCTGATACTTTGCTTGTGTGTCTCAATGGCTTTCCCACTGAGCTTGTTCCCTTTTGATCCAGCAACTTCTTCCTCAGCCTGTGAAAAGGTCAAAACTGCTGGAATCAATGCAGCTGTTTGTGTTTATTCTGTTGCTGTATACTTCTATCACATGAGATGGCAGTCCAGCTCCAGGGGCCTGGCAGTCATCACAGAGCCAGACAGTGATAAGGCTAAAAACACAAAGTTCTCTAGGTAAGGGAGCAGGAGTTCTGAAACACTAAAACTTTGCACTTGGAGAATCCATGACCTCATTATGATGGCAGGTAGTGATGCGGTGAATATAATCTTAATTAAAAAATCTTAGGCAACTCTTTAGTGACCAGGAAATTGTTTCTGCTTTATAACACCAAAAAGAGTTACAATTGGTAAAACTGTTGACATGCTCTGGAATTAAGCTGCCATTGTTCAAGGACTCTTTAGATGAGGCTTGAATCTGACAACTTGTAGAGGCTCAGTGAAGTAGTTTAATCCAGAGCCATAATAATGTGAAAAACATTTTCAGATAAATCTTAGAAGATTGTAGACTCTGAGCATGTATGGGCTAAAGATATATATGTAAGTATAAATATATACGACATATGTCATTTAAATATACTTTTCCTCATAGTTCATGAACTTTCAGTTTCATTTAATTTGTTCTTTTTTTCCTTTTTCTCTTTCTTTCTTCCTTCCTTCCTTCCTTCCTTCCTTCCTTCCTTTCTTTCTTTCTTTCTTTTTTTGGTGAGGATAAAACCCAAAGCTTCATATATGCTACACAAGCAATTGAGTGAATTCCATCCTTCAACTAATTTGAGTGTGTGTGCATGCTTGTGTGTGTACATACGTGTGTGCTCAGGGGTATGTCCATGTATGTATGCACTTCTGTGGTAGTCAGAATGTCAACACTGGGTGTCTTTCTCTGTCACTCTCCTCTTTGTTCTTTTGAGACAGAGTTTCTCACTGAAATTTGAACTCACCTATTAGCCAGACAGGCTGGCCAGTGAGCCCCCAGAATCCACTGATTCCTGCCTCCCCAGGTCTAGGATTACCAGCGTGTGCCATAACGCTTGGCTTCTTGTGTGGGTGTTGGGGATCTGAACTTGAGTCCTCATGCTTGTGCACTAAGCACTTAGAGACAGAGCCATCATCCCAGCTCCATCTACTTTTTTTTTTAACCTTTTACTCTCATCTGTATTTACCTTTTAAAGCAGAATGTGATTGGGCACTATATT